AGTGCTTATGATAAAAATATCAGTTTTGAAAACTTCATTCAATGAAATCATATCAAAAAGATGTTTAAACTTAGAATATTTGCAAGAGTAGTAATGAGCAGGTAAAGCAGTTACAAAATAAGTAAACAAACAGAGAAAGGGAGGCACATTAAGTTTATAGTGATTCGGTTATCGTGACTAACATCCACTACTTATTCCTCTTCCGTCGAGGCCACCAGCATCCACTAATAGTTTTCCTTCAATGGGCGAGGACCAACAACCCTTACAACTCCATTCTCCTTTTGACAGGCTCAGGAGAGAACCTTTACAATCACACTCACTCCTCCCTTAAATAGAAATTAACACTTAAACTAGAGGAAGAGAACTCTCATAAGATTATAATATAGTTTTTTCTTATTTTTATTCTTAGGTCTTATGTTTGCTTAGTAAGATAAGAGGGGTATTTATATGCCCCAAATGGATTCAAATTTAGAGCTAAAACTAATATTATCCCGGGTCTTCGGGGTACTAGTGGTACCATCGCTAGTACTGGACGGTATTATCGCTTGACAAAGCCTCAGAGACTAGGTCTGGGCGGTACCACCACCTAATCTAGTGGTACCATCGCCTGACATAGTCTTAAAGACTATGTCTAGGTGGTGCCACCACAAAGTTTGGGTAATGCCACCGTCAAACCCTACTACAAGACACTGAATGAGCCAAACAACAAGCCAAACTCAGCCCTGATTCAGGCCTAATTGACCCCTAATTGAGTTGATATTATTTCACTCTAATACTAACTCAATTAGACCTAAAACTACTTCGAACTAGATAATTATTACAAAGCATTAATCATATGTTGTCCAAAATATCATTAGTTCATCCGGCGCTTCGTCCGACCCTTCGATGCATCATCCTCTCCTTTGGCATATTACCTAATCAACATGTTGTTTTCCCGCAACATCCGATCTCCTTGGCGAAATGTTTGATCTTCTTGGCTCGATGCCTGAACTCATAACACGAAGGCTTCTGCCGATAGATCGACCGATCCTTTGGTTCGACGTTCAATATTTTGACATGTTCTACTTCGGCCCAACATTGATTCTTTATGCTTTAATCAAAATTGTCTCTTCATGATGGAAGCTAGTCTTGCGTCATTCAAAATGCATGTTAGATCACAAACTTATCAATTGATTTCATCATTAAAATTTGAGATTCAATAATCTCCCCCTTTTTTATGATGACAACCAATTGATGACGAAGTTTTACTAAACTCTCCCTGTCAATATGCTATATTAATAGAATCTTTAATTTAGAAAATCATGCAATGTTTTAAAACATAAAAAGTACATCCTACAATGTGTGATTCAACTCATTATCATATCTTCTCCCCCTTTGTGATGAACAAAAAGGAGAAGTTCAACTAATAAGTTTTTGAGTTATAATTTCAAATTATTCCATTATAAATATAATTTTAAGTTTTTGAAACATTATTGCATATATTATCATGCAAGCTAGCAAGTTTTTCAGATATAAAAGTTAACAAATTTTTTGCATCTTTTGATATGTGCAAGATAGCATGATTTTTGTATCTTTTTTGAAATGTGCAAGCTAGTAAACTTTGCTTCTCTTTTGATATGAGCAAGCTAGCAATTTTAACAAATTTACATCATGTAAGCTAGCAAATTTCACATCATTTTAGAACATACAAGTTAGCAAGTTTTCTTCTCTTTGAAATGTGCACGCTAGCAAGTTTTCTCCTTAAAATGTATAAACTAGCAAGTTTTTGAAAAAGAATGCAAGATAGTAAATAGTAAGTTTTACATCATTTTAGAACATGCAAGTTAACAAGTTTTAGAGATGTGCAAGTTTAGCAATGCTTTGTTTCTTGAGGTGGGCAAATATAAAGATACACAAGATAGTACTTTTTGCTTCTCTTTTGATATATACAAGCTAGCAAGTTTTGCCTTTCTTTGAAATGTGCAAACTAACAAGTTTTAGCTTCTTCTTGAATTATGTAAGCTAGCAAATCTTTCTCCCACTTTATCATTGTCAAAAAGAAAAAAGAAGAGGGGAATAATACAATGATGCAATTCATTTCCATTTACATCAATTATTAAATCATCACACACAAGGTATACAACCATACATACAAAAGAATTGTACATAATGAAAATCATGTCGAAGATATAATATCAAAGATCATGTGAATATCAAAAGACATGAATCATTTTGATCTCCTTGCGAAAAGGGCATCGGGCCTTGAAGAGCGGATATTGCACCAACGATATCGGAGTTGCAGAGTCAACTGGCCGATTGGGCAATAGGTCGCAAGAGAGGACGATGCGCCGAAGAATCGGACGAAGCGTCAAGGGACCAATGATATGTCGGACAACTTGATTAATGCTTAGTATTAATTGTCTAGATCTAAGTATGGTTTTACATGTGCAGGATTAACTACGATAGCAAGGCATGAAGCAAAATGAAGTCCCGGAGTCAAGGACGCGATTACGTTAAGAATTCGAGAGTTTGTCGGAAGTCCGGACGTTCGTCGGAAGTTCTAAAGGAACCAGCCGAGAAGTCTCAGGGCTTGCCAGAGAAGCTCGTCGGAACTCGCCAAGAAGATCATCGTGAAGTCTAGGAGCTTGTCGGGAGTCCGCTAGAATATTGCTGAGAGATCGTCAGAAGTTCCCCGGAAGTTCGCCGGAAGCTCACCGGAAGAATAGACATAGGGACTTATTTAGCTTAGCAAATGTCTTAGGATTTTGTAGTTAGCACGTAATTGGGCTTGGATTTAGGTCAACCCAAGTATGGGCTAGCTAGGCCCATGTAAGAACTGTGTTGGGCCCAATAAGAGGCCCAAACAGTGCCCCAAGAAGTCTCACCGTCGTGGCATAGTCTTCGAGACTATGTCAGGCAGTGGTACTACTAGTCTGGGCAGTTGTACCACCCCTGGCAGGGTGCCAGGCGATGGTACTACCAGTCTGAGCGGTGGTATCGCCAGTCTGGGCGATGGTACCGCCCAAGCCAGTGTCCGTGTCAAATTGACATTGGGCGGTGGTACCACCCAACGCAGGCAGTGGTACTGCCCGTGCCCAGGGAACCTAGGATGGGAAAGTTTTAGGCTTCAAGTTTGAATCAACTTGAAGCCTATAAATACTTCTCTCATCCCTGGTTAAAACATAAAAGCACAGAAAGAAAATAAGAGAGAAAACACTGCTGCGATCATAAGTGTATTCCCTCCTCTAGCTTAAATTTAGATTTCTGTTAAAAGAGGAGAGTGAGTGCTTGTAAGGGTTATCTCCTAAACCCGGTAAAAGGAGAAGAGGGGTGTAAAAGGTGATTGGCCTTCACCTATTGAAGAAAGGCCTCTAGTGGACGCCGATGATCTCGTCGGAGGAGGAAGCCGAAAGTGGATGTAGGTCACGTTGACCGAACCACTCTAAAACTCCAGTTTGTATTTACTTATTGCTATTTACCTTATTGCAAACCTCTATATGTACTTTACTTCCTCATTACTTTTGCTGCACACCTTTATGAACACGCTTTCAAGTTAAGTTTCTAAAATCAATTTTTCGTCAGAAATGATTTTATCGCAACGAAGTTTTTGAAGACGTGATTTTTATCCACTGCACTAATTCACCCCCTCCCCTCTTAGTGCCGACTCTTGATCCTAATAAATTCAAGTCAAAGCAAATTTAATCAAGAATATTGGTAGCACATCATCATAAAATCATGCATAATTAAATCATTCAATTATATAATTACATGCATGATTGTCATCATATATTCTTCCCCTTTGTCATCAACAAAAAGGAGAAGTGCAACTTTTAAATTTAGAGATATACAAGCTTTGCGATTTAGCAAAATTTTAGTCACTTTGAAACATGTAAGCTAGTGAGTTCTTTCTTCTCTTTTGAGAAGTGCAAGTTAGCAATTTTTGCTTCCTTTACAAAGTTCAAGCAAGCAATTCTAGCAAGTTTTTCATCATGCAAGTTAGCAAGTTTTTTTTTTTTTTTACATCATGTAAGCTAGCAATATTTAAGATGTTCAAGAAAGCAACTTTTGCTTCTTGAAATATACAAGTTAGCAACTTACACATATGAAAGTTGACAAAATTTTATATCTTTTGAGATTAGCAAGTTTTTTACTTATCTTTACCATGTGCAAACTAGCAACTTTTCTCCCCCTTTATCATTGTCAAAAAGAAGAAAAAAATATAATTTTATAATTTTTTTCCCTTTACATCAATTTTTAAATCACGATAAAGATAAAATATCATTCTTAATTACAATATGTTCGTGCATTATTATAGTTTCAAATTAAAACATGCACAATTTTAAAACCTTACATATCATCCTTACTTTATACATGATACAAAAAATAAATCAACTCTATGGGCATATCATACATGATACTAAAGCATTCATGATACCAAACATTCATCATTAATTTTCTCCCCCTTTGTCACAGGCAAAAAGAGGAGAATAAAAATATAATGGTGCAATTCATTTTCCTTTTCATCAATTTTCAAATCATCACATAATGAATAATAAGAAAATTAATTTGGTGACAAATTATACTTTGCAAAGACAATGGAGTATTGAAACATGAAAGAAAAATCAATTTATGTATTTAGTATTCCAAACATCAAAGCACATTATCTCAAGTTGTGAAAAAAATAATCAATGATACATTATGATTCATTTGGATAAACATTCTCATTAATGCAAGAAATCATTCCTGAAAAGTGAAGGGAATAGCATAAATACGTAAATATTCAAATTATCAAATAGAAGATATCAAAAAAATTTTGATGATAAAATATATTTTATGAATACAAAGAATTGTACATAAAAATTATATCATTAAAGATAAAATATCAAAGATAATAAAAAATTAAGTAATGAATACTGAATACTAAATGATATAATTTATCTATCTGCATGCCATCTGAACCAAATTTCACTAAACTAGAAATATCAGCTTCGGATCCCAATTGCAAGACAAGATATAGAATATAGTGGGAAGGATGTTCCTAAAACTGCATTTTTACAAGGCTAATGATCATATAAAAAGGAAGATGTTTCATGTTTTTTTTACAGGAAGATAATAGACAGCCCCATTTAAACAGATTTATACAAAGCACATTTTGTACAGAAATTTGTGCTGATCACAGTAGATAGAGATCCTGAATCCTAGGATGTCATGTTAACCACTTGGACTGAATTGAACATAGATCACAAAGAAACACAGGAACAGCAGTTGCTGTCTTTTGGTGGTTTATTTAGATTTGAGGAAATGAGGAGAAATCAGTTTTGCAATTTCCAGCATCCCAACCTTGTCTCTATCTTCAAAAAGAGTCTTCAGCTTCTCATCACAGCAAATCTCCTTTTTATTTGCTGGGTTCTGCACAAGGAAAAATAGCTCATTAATCTAATTAAGAACTTGATCTAAATGTGCATTGACCCAAATAACCGATCAAAACTTGTTTATGAATGAACAGCCACTGAAACAGTGCAGAATCCTCAGGCCTGCTCAAAGCACTTCATATACTCTTGACACCTGCTGCAACCCCTTACAATTTGTGTCGAAAATATGATGATGAGAACTTTGCACAATAGGTTGTACTGAAGGAATTCATCAACATCATGTAGCAAGTATCTTTATTTCTAAGAATCAAGCCACTTTTCCCTGTCTAGCTAGCTTCATATTCTAAGCGATAAATAAGATAAAAGTGATACATTTAGTTCATTGACAATTTTATATCTCAGCTCCATCACCAAGGATTTGTCTAGTTTGACAGCATTAAGTTCATGAAAGCAAGAACAGTTTGCTGAGACATGAAAACTTCTGGCTAATTATAAATTTCCACATCACCTGTATAAAATCTTACTGAAAAAGAGATGAAGCATCCAAATACTTGGCTCAAAGTGGGAAAAGAAACGAACAATAGAAACATAAGCCCATATGGCTACTCAGTATGTATGTGTAAGAGCGACAACAGAGATATATTCCAATTGTCGAAGCAAATATTAAAAGAGCAGAAAGCAACCAAAGGATGAGTAGAGGTGTGCATCAGACCGATGACTGAAACAAAACAAAACAGACAAAACCTGTGGCAATCTTCACTATTCAAACAAAACCCACCTGTGTTCTGAGTATGCCTTGACTATCCATGTCATATTTAGTCCAAAAGCCATTCCTTTGGCTTCATGGACGAACACAAGAGTTTAAATGAAACCAGTTCAAAGCAATTCGTTTTCCTGATTTCTAGGATGTAAACAAATATTTCTCTCTCACCATGATAAGGTTTTTAAGTCTGTCAAACTAGATGTGCATGTCAAAAAATGAGTCACAGAGCAAAGGTCTCAAAATGAATTAGATATGTTAGAAACTAGTTGCTAGTTGTCCCCTATATAACACCAGTGTATTACTACAAAAGAATGACCATAAAGAAAAGTCGAGATATAACACAAACTAAACATCTCATTCCATTAATCGACAGCTTATATACGTAAAAAGAACACTGCATGCTTCCATGAATATTTGAATATTTGCAAGCAACTTGTCCGAGACATAGGTCAGATCACCCCTGAACTATCAACACACCAACAAAGTAAAAAAGCACGGATCTTGCTCATGTGTTCCCATTTCTTCTTTTATACACATACTGAAACTTAAGTGGAAAGAAGAAGCAGATGAATCTCTTCAGAGTTTAAACTTCACATGAATACAAAAGAATCTAAGCAAAACTTACAGTGAAACAATGAATCATAGCAACAAAGTTTTCAACACCTTAAACACTATCCTGCAGTGGACATCTTTACTAGAAAATAAGCATGAATCTACTTGCGGCAGGCAGTTCTACTATCACACACTGGAATCAAGCTAGTAAATTTAACCTGACTGGCTCCTTTAAAGCACGTAGCAAGCCATAAAAACTACACAGTGGTCAGGAGACAACACACAGCTGGAGTTCCAATGGTTCCAGCAAATGGAGAACTTCAATTGATGACTTCCATTGAACTTCTAACGACAAAAAATAGCCCTCGGATCATCATTAGCGTGACAAAAGGTAAAAGGTTGATCCTTGTAAAGCTGCAATGGATGCATCGATGCACTAGGAAGACAAGGACAGCCTAAAGGCATGATCAAAATGGATACCTTATGAAACATTCGTTGCATGTTCAGTTAAAGAAGAAATTAGTACTCGAAGCTAGAAATTTCAAGCAATAATCGGGTATAAGATAGATCAAAGAGGAAGAAGCGGGGATCAACCTGAAGCTGGTGGCCCTTGATGTACTCCCAGATCTTCTTGACGGCCTGGCTACGCGAGATCTCCGGGACGCCAAGGAATTTCCTCATAGCCAGGGAGACGGGGATCGGCTTCAGGATGCCGCTGTGCTTCGGTTTCGCCGCCGTCGACGACGGTGACGATATCACCGCGGGAGCGGCCGCGGAGGCCTTCGTCCCCGCCCTGGCCGCCACCGCCGCCCTGGCCGCCGCTGCCGCGAGAGTCCTGCAACCACCAAAAACCCTAGTCATCGATCCTCCGCTACTCTTTCTCTCTCTTAGAATCTTAGAATGTGATTTGGGCGGGTGGGCGGTTGGGTGGGGGTGGAAGGACGAAAGCTATTGCAGACTCGCGTTTACCCGAGTTGACGAGATCAACGGTCAGGATCATCCGGGACCAGGCGAGCATCGCCCGGGCAGCTGTCTGGCCGAGACAGAGTGGTTCTTACGCGGGGCTCCACGAACTGTGGAGCGGATTCTTGACCCGGATCCGAATCATTTCTACGAACGAACGTTGTTTGCCCTCAATAGCGTCTCGAATCGAAACGGATCGGATCTCTAAGCCTCGTGACCAAATCCGACTCGCTACCTTTCTCTATCTCGCCACCGTAGCCCGACGCGCGCACGGCGTGGCCGAAGCGGAAGCCTCGAACGCGCTCTCCGTCCTCCACGGTCCATCGCGCTCCTCTTTTCTCTCCACCCTTATCCCTTTCCTCATCCTCGTCCTCCTCCCTCTCATACCTCCCCTCGCTCTCTCGCGTGGTGGAAAAGGCGACAAGAGGTTAAGAACTCCATCCGCAGCTCGCACTCGTTGGAGCCCAACACGCAGCTCCCGCCGATGGCGTGCTTGGCGCCGCAGTTCAAGTGGCCGCCCTCGTCCGACGCACATTTCAGGCCCTCTCTCAATTCCATTCACCGTAAGTGCACTTCTTTTGATTCCTCAATGCCAGAATCATTTTTATAGAAGCAAGTCTTTGTTGCTTAATTAGATTCCCTACCTCTTGCTTATCGAGTATTAGATTGTCGGTAACTTCTTTCGATTTGTGTGGTGGATTGGGTGCTTGTCATTTTTCCTGAGTGACATGCGATGGTAGACTTGTGGCCTGGTGGCTGTCGATTCCAATATTGAGTCTTGTAGTTGATTTTTTGCCCTCTTGTTCTTCCCGAGCTATCCAGACATTTAACTTTCACCGCTTCTTTAATTGTTTTACTAAAAGAAAAGGGACTCAGATTGTGGAAGTCGTAATAATTTCTCCAGGGAGTTTTCTTGATTTAGACTTGTGCTCTGTGACTGAACCATGCATGGTTCGATGATGTCTTTACGATAAACGAGACCTCTCAGTTCTTCCTTTGTTGTTCAACATTGATTGAAAAACATGGTTTTGATATTGGTGTCGATCTTCATAGTCAGTCACCCAGAGTAGTGACCGTCATCTTTACCATCTGCGAAAATCACTAGCAGATTTATGCAACTCGATACATTCTATATAATATTTTTAACTGGCATAACCCATCTTGGAAACACTGGTGAGTTTTCACTGAAAGTACAATTCAGTGCCCTGGTAGCTTATTTGTCAAAAAAGGATCTAGGATTATTGTGGTAATATTTTTCAAGAAATTATCTTAGATCTGAAGTCAGCAAAGGAAAACTGCTGCTTCATTTACTTTATTGTAGTTAGCATCTGAAAATGTTCCTTTTGTGGTCCTTGCCAATGATATATGTAACATCTCGATTTAGTTTTATATCAAAAGTGGAGAAAGACAGATTGACTTAGGCCTGATGGGTATACTCTTATTAACTTGGGCATAAGTATTTTGGACTAATATCTTATGCAGTTGGATCGTAAAAATTGATATTAGAGTCAACACAATATTGGACATGGGGAGAGAAATTGAGTAGAAAAGACAACATGGATGGGGCAAGAAGCCTCTCACAATGTAGAGTTGCCATTAGGTAGGCCTCACATGCACAATGTTAGTGTTTAATTTTGGATTATGTTGGTAAGGACATTAAATGATTATAACATCCCGATTTAGTCCCACATCAGAAGTGAACGAAAACTTGAATTGATTGAGCCTTGGGTGTACTATTGAATTGTGCATAGATATTTTGAGCTTAACGAGTTAGTTATCCTATCATGCTCGGTCCGAAAATGTAGGTGTAATTCATAAAGAAATCATAATCAGAACAGCATGGAAAATACTTCAATAATTTAGTTTCTTATATGGCTACTTATTTCCTTTTTTCATTAAAAAAGGTCCTGTCCACTTCTCCAAGCCACCAGTAAACTGAAAGAATTAACGATTTTGGAACATTTGAATTGGTGGGAACTTCATATCTAGAATTCCATGATTCTTTCTGAATGCTGGTTTCTTATTGTTTTCCTCTATTTTACTGCTTGCTACATGCTAGATGTACAACTCTCATTATTCTTTTTTCACTTTTCTGGGTACAGCAAGGGCTAGAGATTCTGTTTCAAGTAGAAGCCAGTGTATTATATCTCCTGCTACAGCTGTAATTGAAATTGAGCAGATACCAACTCTGGAAGCTCATTCAACTGATGCTATTAGACCCTTGAAATATACAGCAGCTGTTGGCCCACCTAAAAAGGTTAGACTTGGCTTTATGGAGAGTCCTATCTCATATATAGTGGCCAAAATTCAGAAATCAAGATTAAATTTAACAACATTAATTCATAATTCATTTAATACTGATTTATTATTCTAGAGGGTCGAATTAAGAATGTTGCATATGAAAAATGTGGTGAATGTCTGATCTAGTAAACTTTGCAGCAAAATTTGATAATTGTTCTTCAAAAGAGAAACCTAACTTTGTGTGATTAAATGTCAAATTAATGGAGATCTCATTTTTGACATATATCATTCCTTATTGCAGTTATTTATTTGGACTAACAAATCACATTAGGGACAGATAGCAAATTATTTCTCTACTTCCCAGTGAATACAGGGTCTTTATCACTGAATTAATAGATTTGACTGAAGATACTGGTTTCTGATTTAGTTCTTTATGAGGAAGTAAAAGTAACGTACTCTGAATCATGGTTTGCAATATTGTACCGTACCGCTCGGTATGGATGGTACATTGGTATACCTTAGTATACCATGTGTCGGTACATTCGGTACAACTTGGTACGTATCGTACCAATAACTGATCGGTACACCGGTACAGTATAGTATTCAGAACCTTGCTTTGAATATGCTATTATGCATAATTGTGTTATCTTAAATGCTGATTCCAATATGGTTTAAGAGGCAGTGAGGGAGCATGAATACATGAATATCCAGATAGCTTATAGAATGCTGTATAGCAGTTCAATAGTTGTACTTATTTGCACATGAAAAAATGTATCTAAAGCATATCTTCTTTTCTGAATGTGTATGTAGGAACATTTTCCTTTATAGACAAACTAAATCATCTCATTTTGGCACATCCTAACATCCGTATCTACACTTCTCATCTTAATTCTGCACAGGCAAGTACCATAGCAACCTTGACTCCTGAAACCCTTCTCACAGATGAGGAGTCATTGATAGCAGCAGCTGCTGCTGAGGCAGTAGCTCTTGCTAGAGCAGCAGTTGAAATTGCTAGAGATGCAGCACAAAAGATCAGAAAGAATCCATTTACAGAGTCAGATAAGTTAAATCATTTCACATCAGAAGCTAACATGCACAGGCTTGAAAGAGTCAGATTCACTGAAACAGAATCCATCAAAGTCATGAGCTCTCTTATTGCTGAAGTTCATCAAGAGAATTCAACCGAAAACCCATCTGAGATTGATGTTTTCAACTTAATGCACAGTGAAATTGAAATCAAAGAAATGTGCCATTCTAAAGGCATAGCTGTGAGATCAGGGCGTCAAACAGAAAGAAGAGCTAAAAGAGCAAGAGCAGCAAAGAAGGATGCTTCTGGTGTTATTAACGTGAAGCGTGGAACATCTGGAAAGAAAAAGCGTTCTTCTTTTCAGGAGGTTGATTATTCAGATCCCTTGCGTTACCTGAGAGGAACAACAAGCACATCAAAACTTCTCTCAGCAGTGGAAGAACTAGAGTTGTCCAAAGGGATTCAAGTAAGAATTACTTCATTAAAATTTTGAATATGCCTCCCTGATTTATTTTTCATTTGTTGGTTTGCTAAACCGGGATATAGCCTTTATGTATGAAGATACAAGTGTTACATACTTTATGGTCCTTATCCCATCAATTCATAGCTATTGATCTACTTTGCATGCTCTCAAGAAGCCTTTTTCTTTTCTTTGGGAGTTCACTAACAACTGGGATGACCACTTGTTAATGAAGATGCAAATACTTACATAATAAATGGTCATCCTCCCGTCAATCTGCAGTTGTTGATGTACCTTGTATATTCTCAATAAGCACTTGAAAACATCATACTTCCATGGAAAAATTTGTTGGTCTTCCCATCCTATTTTGCACCCCCCATAAATTTAAAATAGATCTTTTACTAATTGAACCTACTTCTCACACACAAAGCACTTTTGATCACCGTAGCTGTTCACACCTGAGCTTTTTGCATATGTCTGCTAATATAATACACCTTAATATGCTAATATCTATATTAATTTTGTTGTAATCTATGTTCATTTATGGCATTGTTCTTGTGACTAGGAGTGATCTGAACTCATCCTCCAGCACAGATGTGAAGACTGTCAATTTTTACTTGAAGTGACTAAGAAATGTGAATTATGGAACTTTTTGCATCCTAGACTATGTAGTCTGAGGAGACACTAATACCCTGTTGTTTTCTTTTTTATAGAATAAAGTATGTGGGTTTCAGCTAAATATATGTCTCTGTGGAACAACTTCTTGTATAATATTGCACGGATGTTAAGAGTGCATTTATATGAAATAGAATTGCACATAAAGCACTATCGCACACCATCTGAAAGTGCTATGTCTATTAACAATTGCCTTCCACAATAAATGTAAGCAGGATCTGTTAAAGCTGGAAAGACTCCGGGAAGAGCTTGTTGGACGAAATGGTGGTCAACCAACATTTGCTCAATGGGCAACTGCTGCTGGAATTGATCAGAAGACACTGAGGAAACGCTTAAATGATGGCACATTTTGCAAGGATAAAATGATTAAGAGCAACATACGCCTTGTCATTTCCATTGCAAAAAACTATCAAAATGCAGGGTTGAGCCTTCAGGATCTTGTTCAGGTGCTTGCTCTTGCTGCCCTGGAACTACTTTGTCATTATAGAATGATGTGCATCTTCAGTATCTTGATCTTGAGTCCAATACACAGGAAGGGTATAGAGGCCTAGTTAAGGGTGCTGAAAAGTTTGATGCTTCAAAGGGGTTCAAGTTTTCGACATACGCTCATTGGTGGATCAAACAAGCTGTTCGCAGGTCTCTTTCGGAACAATCTAGGACAATCCGTTTGCCAGTAAGTTTTGCTAACAACATATTCATCTGGACACAAAATTAGGATTAAGATTTTGATTTATTTCTTAATAAATAACTGTTAATTCAGATTAGATTTTCAGTAACTAATTGGTTATTGATTTGACTTCATAAGTTGGAAAAAGAGCATACATGTTTTGTTTGCTTGATTAGTTCACACACAAATTGCAAATTTGACCTACTGAGAAAGATATCTCTAACTTGCAACTCTCCGTTTGCAGTATACACAATGATATGTTCCCCCTCGGCCTCATGGTATGCTTAAGAAGATATTTGTGGTCTCTTCATTCCCTTTAATTTTCATTTTGATCTTTAATGGCCAATTCCAAATTGATAGAAATTATGCATTCTTAATAATTGTGTAGAGGCACTTGATCTTATTCTTGTCTTCAGTTTATTCTGTTGGAACTCTTATTCTGATATGTTATATAGATTTACTTTATGATAATGTAAAGTTTTAACTCTTTATGGAATTTCTAGATCTTTTCTAAACAAAATAAAAATGAGGAATATATCTTCATGCATGAATGTTCTGAACTCTTAACAGTTTCACATGGTTGAGGCAACTTACCGAGTACGAGAGGCTAAAAAGCAACTCTACAGTGAGAATGGGAGGCATCCAGATTATGTGGAAGTTGCAGTGGCAACAGGGTTGTCTATGAAGAGGGTTGAAACAGTACTGCTTACCCCAAAGGCTCCAAGATCTCTGGATCAGAAGATTGGAATCAACCAGAACTTAAAGCCTTCGGTTCGTCATCATCTTAACATAGCATCTCTCCATTTCTGTTTTCATCTTATCCCTTACATTTTGGTGATCTGGTTGTGCTTTGTTTTGTAGGAAGTCATGGCCGATCCTGAAGCTGAGACGTCAGAGGAGATTCTCATCAAGAAATTCATGAAGGCTGATCTGAATAAGGTGTTGGACACTCTGAATCCTAGAGAGAAGCAGGTGTTGAGATGGAGATTCGGGCTGGATAATGAGAGGATAAAGACACTACAAGAGATAGGCAAGTTGATGGGTGTCAGCAGGGAGAGGATTCGGCAAATCGAGTCATGTGCTTTTCGAAAACTTAAGAGCAAGAAGAAGATGAGGAATCTGCGGCAGTATCTGATCTCGTAAGCCTCTCGAAGTCCATATCTGTGCATTCTTTCTATTCCTTTCGGCGCACCAACGGAGTTTTATATGGTCCGTTGGCAGTTTCATGTACAAGTATAGTACATCACGAAGCTTCAATCTACTTTCTTCAGAACCACCCTTTATTTACGAGAATAAGAGTACCAATTCCAAGTAAATGTTTCCATTCGATTGCTTTAGTTGAATTTTCTGCTACCAAAGATTTGAACAGTAGTTCCTGCACTCATTTACTTACAGTATCATTCGTGGACCTTTACTTCAAGCAATTCTCACAAATTGCATCCATTTTGGTTTGTCGGAAGAGCTCGAATCAGCTGTTATCTGCACTTGGAAAAAAGAGAGAATCTTTTGCTCAATGGATTTATCGTATCTTCTTCTAGATAATGATCAGCTGCAGCAGATGTTATCGGGATGCATTAATGACAGACGACAGGAAGAGCTTCCTTCTTTACCTTCGTTGCAGTCGATGGCCAAAGAGCATCAGTGCCATGGGCGAACATGTCGATCCACATATGATCGAAACCAAACAGAGTTGATTGATGGATCCTTGTAGCCGTCGTGCTCGCTGAACTGCACCTCCGGCAGGCGACAGCAGCTTGTAGTGGTACAACGTGTAGCTCAAGCACTTCAGCCAGACGACGGAGAACGGTATGTGCTGCACGTACGTAGTAGCCGCTTGACATCCATCAGTATGGCTCCGGAGAGGAGGAAGGCGACGACGTCGGCTTTGCGACGTGGATGTTCTGGATCACTCAATTGTAGGAAATCACCTTATGGATAGGTGAGACGCTGACTAGATTGCCACGTGGATGTCAGTGTGACAACAACCTAGTGCAAGGTTACAATACATATTTTGTTTTGAAAAAAGAAAATTATATTAAGGATTAACTAGAAAATATAAATTGTTCCATGTTGGGATCATTGCCAGATAAAAAAAGGACTTGTTCTAAAAAAACAAAAACAAGAAACAGGCAAACGATGGATTACATCATTCGTTGTACGCGGGATGTGAATAAAATACAAAATGCTTTCAATAAAATTATCGATTTGAAAAATTTTAGTTTGATAAAATCATTTCGAAAAGATGTTTAACTTGAAAATGTTCTTAAGAACAAGTAAATCAGTTAGCAATATAAATGAAAAGTACGAAGAAAATATAAACCTAATTTATAGTAGCTTGGTCATCGTAACCTACGTCTACTCTCGATTCATCTCCACTCGAGGTCATCAGTTTTCATTACCGATCTTCTTTTCAATTAGCAAAGATCAACTACTGTTATAACTCTTTCTCCTTTTCAAAGATTTAGGAGACAACCTTTACAAGCCTCTCTCCTTTAGACTTTACTCCTCCCTTAGAAACGTTCTAACTTTAGAAAAAAGAGACTCACTAACTTTAAAGAGATTACAACACCTTTTTTTCAAGTATGATTTTTTCCTTTTTCTACTCAATTTTATATATTTATCAAGCAAGAATTTACGGGGTATTTATAGATCCTAAATGGCTTTAAAATTGGAGCCAAAATTCAAATCCTCGGATTTTCGGGGTACTAGGAATACCACCACCTGTTAGTTTGATACTGGGTGATACCACTGCCTAATCTGATAGTACCATCGCCTAGTCTAGGCGGTACCACTACCAAACCCTACTATAGGTCAGTAAATGGGCTAAACAATAGGCCTAATTCAGTCATGATTCAGGCTCAATGGGCTCCTAATTAAGTTAGTATTGTTTCATCCAAAAACTGACTCAATTAGTCCTAAGCTAACTCGATCTAGACACACAATTACGAGCATAAATCCTATTTTGTCCAGCATGTCATTGGTTCATCTAGCGCTTCATCCGATCCTTCGACGCATCGTCCTCTCTTTCAGCATATTGCTCAATCGGCATGTTAACTCCCGCAACTTCCAATCTCCTTGGCATAATGTTTGATCCTTCGGTCCGATGCCCGAACTCTTGGTATGAAGTCCTTCCGCTGGTATATCTCAATGTCTAATCTCCTGATATTTTTCACTCCAGTCCAATGTTTGATTCCTCTTATTTTTATTGATTTGTTTTTTCTGATCCAAGTTAGTTTTGCGTTACTCAAAACACATATTAGATCGTCAATTCATTAATTGATTTCATCATCAAAATCCGAGATTCAATAATCTCCCCTTTTTTTATGATGATAACAAATTGATGACAAAATTTAAACTAAACTTCCCCTATCAATATGCCATAATTTCAATCATGAATTATATGCAATACATTATATCATTACTTACATCATAAATTCAAGTATTATATCCAAACCATTAAACATAATAAAATTTCATTATACCATATATGATCATCATCATACCTTCTCCCCCTTTGTCATAAAAAAAAAGGAGAAGTACAACTAACAAGTTTTTGAGATATAATTTCAAACCATTGTATTATAAACATAATTTCAAGTTTTTGAAACATCATTGCATATATCATTATGCAAACTAGCAAGTTTTTCAAATATGAAAGTTAGCAAAATTTTTGCGTCTTTTGAGACATGTAAGATAATATGTTTTTGCATCTTCTTGAAATGTGCAAGCTAGTAAATTTTGCTTCTTTTTTTAAA